GTGTTTGCTGAGGGCACCCGCGGTGCTTTTACCTCTCCTGTCCCCAACCGTGGCTTCAGCTGAAGTGCAGCCACAGAGCTGCAGCCTGTGGCCTGTGCTGTGGAAGGTCACCCAGGCAGGAGGAGCCCATGGTCTTCACCTGGAGTGCCCAGGGTGGGATGTCTTCTCCTTGGCCCCCTGGAAAAGTGACAGGGGATGAAGGCAGAGGGGATCACAGCTCCCCCTCCCCTGCTCGTCCTGGCCACGGCAGGGTTAAGCACACCCCACTCATGGTGCAGTGCCACCCCATCTGCGCTCCCAGGATAGTCTGTTCTCTCCTCCATGCTGCTGGGAGAGCAGGCCTTCCCTCCCACTCCCTGATTACTCACCGCAGCCGATCTGGACTCCAGATGGGCCGGATGCAGTTTTCCTCCCAGGAGGTTTGGGGGAAGGTGTGGGGGGGCCACGAGCCCTGTCCAGCCCTCCATGGGACAGCACACCCCAGGAACTCCCAGACCTGCTCCCTCTGCACCATCCACAGCTGCCAGGAGCTGGGATGCTCCTCCGTCCCCAGGAGGGCAGTGGCAGAGGGGAAGGAGGAGCAGTCCTGCCTGGGGACAGAGGAGTCCAAGGCTGTGCACTCCATCCTCACCCATACACCCGGGGTGCAGTCATGACTTGCCTTTCTGGATTTATTCCTATGGATAATTTATCCCAGCAGGGATCTCCCCTGGGTTCTCAGATCTCTCTGCTCTTATAAAACCCCCTCAGACTTTGCTTTTGATGTATCCCAGACAGGCTTCCAACCTCTCAGCATCTCAGGTCCCTTTCCTTTCCATCTTTTTCGCTTCACATACCTGCTGCCGTGACCATCCTCTGCTTCCCTGTGTCCATCCCATCAGCTTTCCCTCCCACCCAGCACTGTGCCCATGGCAGGGAATGCTGAGCCAGACTTCCATGCAGCTGTGCCAGAGAAAACCAATGGACCCCCAAACCAATGGACACCCTGACAGGGAGCTCATGGACTCTGGGAGCCAGGCAGGAAGGAGATGAAGCTTCAGCCAAACAGAAGCATCAGGAGCTATGAGGGTGTTGCAGCCACACCAGCCCCAGGATGTGCAAGTCTCAGGCTCTGCCTGGACTCTGCAAGTCTTCTCTCTGGGAAGGGAGATGATTCCCTCATCCCACAGTAATTGCTAAGGCACTGGAGCATAGGACATCACTCCCAATCACCTTCCTCCCCAGACTCTGGCCTCTCCCCTGGGAATGCTGCCATGTCATAGAATCATCACAGAACATCAAAACAGGATGTTTTGAGTTGGAAGGGACCTTAAAAACCACCTCTTTCCATCCCCCTGCCATGAGCAGGGTCACCTTCCACTGGCCCAGGTTGCTCCAAGCCCCATCCAACCTGGCCTTGGACACTTCCAGGGACCCAAAGGCAGCCACAGCTTCTCTGGGCAACCTGTGCCAGGGCCTCACCACCCTCACAGGGAAGAATGTCTTTCTAAAATCCCATCTAAATGTCTCCTCTTTTGCTTTAAAACTGTGTCCTATCACTGTCTGCCTGTGTGAAAAATCATTCTCCCTCTTTTCCATAAGTCCCAATGGACACAATGATGTCCCTGCTGCCTCTCCATGTAGGGAACAAGGGGTCATGGCCCCAAGGCTGTCAGAGCTCAGGAAACATTTGTACAACACTCAGGGATGGGTGGGATTGCTGGGGTGTCCTGTGCAGGGCTAGGAGTTGGACTCGATGATTCCCTTCCAAACCATGAGATTCTATGACTCTGTGACTCTGTGACAACACGGGCAGTGCTGGGCTGCCCTGTGCACCAGAGGAGGTGAATTCCTGGGCAGGGAGCCCTGAGGGAGGTCCAGGGGGTGAGGAGCACCCCCAGCAGCCCCCATGCCTGCACAGCATCGTGCCAGCATGCCCGGGGGCCGGTGGCACCTCGGCAGGGCCCAGATGGTCTGTGGGTGGCAATCTCGGCAGGTTGGTGGTGGCGACTTGATGAATGGGCTGTAGAATTTGGTGAGATAATTAAAGAACCTGACTCTCACAATGCACCTGATAACAAATGAGGTGTCTCTCTCCCTTTTCTGTTTTGTGTGCTGAATTGTATCCGTAAAGATTAATGGATTTACCATTTCTATCGCAACAATGGGCCCGTTCCCTGCGCTGGCCCCTCGCTCCTTGAGGAGCATCCCCCTTCCTCCATCCCCACGGTGTCTCAGCCAGCAGCACAGCCCTGCTTGGCAGGGACACAGGGAGGCTTTGGGGTCTGGCAGCCCTTGGCCTTGGCTCTGACTGACCCCAGCATCGGGCTGCAGTGGGGAACAGCCATGGAGAAACCAGAGGTCCTGCTGTCCATCACCAGGGAAACTCTCTGTCTGGGACCCAGGGCTGAGAGCTGAAAGGTGTTGCATAGCCATGTCCCCAGCCTAGTGGCATCAGGGACATCAAGGAGGCTGTTTGCAGACCCACCCACCTCACAGATAGTGCCTGGACACAGCACAGAAAAGAGGTGGAATGGACGGATGGTGTGGGGAGAACAGGGATGCTCTGAGCCACATGGAGCAGGAGGGAAGAGCCTGGATGCCTCTGGTTGGTGACAACCCAAATCTGTGCCTGGCTGAGATGTGAGCACCGGTTTAAGCTGCAAAAGCCCGTTCCCAGTGTCCTGGGGGCCGAGGGGACAGTCTGACACCAGCTCCATCCTGTCCTAGGCAGCTGCTCCAGCCTGTCTCTCCCTGTCTCTGGCACAGGGATGTTGTCTTCCCAGGAGACAAAATCCTCCTCCTTCCCATCTGGGTCAGACTTTTCCAAGTGAGAAACACCAGCAAAGGAGACATGGTAAGCATAGCACTGGTCAAGGGGCAAGTACAGTGGGATTTCTGAGATAAACAGCCCCCCCATGCTCCTAGAGTTGTCAGGAAGCACAGGATGCTCCAGCAGGATGGTGGCACTGGCTCACCCAGGAGTCATCCTCCCAACACACGTCTGAGCAGCTGGGACTGAACCGAGCCATCGAAGCATCTCCAAAATGTGCTTATATATTACATAGACATTTAAATTAGGTACCTGTGCAAATCAGCAGGTCATTAATCACCCACTCGTTTAATTGGTTTTCCTGCCAAATTGGTTACAGATAAATAATTAAAGCTAAAAAGTGGGTTTGGATGCATTCCTCTGGAAAGTCGGGCTGGCAGCTGGGAAGGAAATCTTTTAAGTCCTGGGCTGGCACGGTCCATCTCCGGCAGGCTGGGACTGGGGAGAGGGGGAGCAGCCAGCTGAGGGGCAAGGTGGTGGTTCCAGGGTCTCTGTCCACGCCGGGCTCGCTGTTGTCCCGCGGAGAGGCTTTTCCAGGGAAAAGGTGCCTGCCCGGGGTGCATCTCCGGCGCGAGGAGCCACGGGCCAGGCGGGCGTCCTGCTCCTGCCCGCCCTGAGTGTGCGTTTTTCAGTGCACTTGGCTGCTAATCATGCATAATAATCGCATTTGCAGAACACAAATGTCACTTGGCTGAGTGCTTTAATTTACTGCCCCGTAAACACACCCCAGGGATGCCTGGGCCCATAAAACATTGACAAGGGCCCTCGTTGCCCAGACATTGTCCCCCACAGAGCCCTTTGTCAGATGGCACATCCACGGGACGCCTGCTCCTGGCTGGCTGAGGGTGGGCACTGCCACTGTGCAGCTCCTGGGGTGGGGGGGACAGAGAGGGATCGTCCTTCGTCCCTGTGCCCACCCCGTGCAGCCCTGGGGCTCCTGCACCTCATCGAGGCAGGGGCAGGAGGGGCTGAGTGGGGTGTGTTGAGCCCCCAGGTGTCAGGAGCGGGGGGTCTGCCCCACATGTCTGCCCAGCCCTGCTGAGGGATATGCACCCATCCCATCCCACTCCAACTCACCTCATCCCATCCCACTTCAGTTCATCCCATCCCACTGAATTTTCTCATGTCCCATCTCATCCCATCCCATCCCATCCCATCCCATCTCATCCCATCCCATCCCATCCCATCCCATCCCATCCCATCCCATCCCATCCCATCCCACTGAATCCTCTCCTGTCCCATCCCATCCCATCCCATCTCATCTCATCTCATCCCATCCCATCCCAACCCACCCCATCCCACTGAATCCTCTCATGTCCCATCCATCCCATCCCATCTCACTTCAATTCACCCCATCCCATCCCACTAAATCCCCTCCCATCCCATCGCACCGAATCCCCTCCTGTCCCATCCCATCCCAGCCGAGGATCCCCAGGTGGACACTGAACACCTTTCCCTGTGGATGGGATGTGCTCCACACACCTGGACACACATCCCACCTGTGGGACACCGTTCCAGCCATCCCTCAGGCTGTGGCAGCAGAGGGATCTTTGGGGATTTCTCAGGCTTCCTAGAAGGATAGAAAATTCTCTTCCCAGAGCTTTTCCTCTGGGCACAGGAGCGACCTTGGGCTGGGCAGTCACTTGTTTGTTCAGTGGAGAGGATAAACAGCACCAGGGCATCTTGGAGGATCTTATTGTACAAGGACAAACTCTAATGAACCAGGTCCAGTTGTCTGGACCTCTTTCCCCTCCTCATTTCCATACAGGCTGTTCCCTGGCAGTCTCCAAGCCTGGATCCGTGCAGCACAGGCTGTGCCTGGGGCTCCTGGGAGTCTCCCTTCCAGCTCTGCCATGGTCCTGTCCCACTCCAAGGCAAGGGGACATGGTCCCCACAGGCCCCTTATTTACTCTGGGCCTTTCGCCAAGCATTGGTCTGCTCCAAACACACATTCCCTCTGCTCCTGCCGAGGAAGAGATGGATGGGATGGGCTTTTTCTAGAGCTGCTTGACCCCAGGCACTTGCCATCCGGGGCTCATAGCCCAGCTGTCCCCTTCCCCTTGCTCCATCTAGGACAATTCCAGCATCCTCCACTGCTTTCTGATTGTCTCAGCCACTTTCCCTTGTTGTTCTTGTTAAAGGCAGATCTCAATAAGTAGTTCACTAACTCAGCCATTTGAGAATCATCATTAATTTAATATCCTTCCTCATTTATTAATGGGCCCACTTTGTCTTGACTCTCCAGTATTTCCTTTTCCCCTTGATATATTTGTAAAAGCCCTTCCTATTCCCCTTAGCCTCATGGCTACCACTAATGTTTGCTTTTCCTGCTGTCTTTAACATTTCTCTTCAACCTTAAATGACTTGGGCTCCTCTGGCTTCTATCAGCTTCCATGCAGAGCTTTTCTATTCCACAGCAGAGCTGTCCTGCTGGGGGGCAGCCCTGGGAGGCAGCAGTGCCCTGCCTGAAGCACATTCCTCTGGCAGCTCCTGCCTGGATCTGGAGAGCTCCAGGACTTCTCCTTGTCCTGGTAGAGGGTCCTGATGGAGTCAGCAGGACGGGATATCCTCCCATTGCACTGTGAGAGCTTCCCAGAGAGACCATCTGGACAGGAATAAGGCAGGGAAAGGTGATGGGTGTCAGAGGGGGGGTCAGAGATGCACCTTGTGGTCACTGCTGGACCCACAGCACAGCGTGAGCCCGGTTGAGGTTTTGGTAGCATTGCCGTGGGTCTGGCTTGCCCTTGCCATGATTCCTGCATCCAGCACTCATCCCTAAGGGCTGTGTTCTCCAGGACATGGCCTGACACTGGCCAGGGAGGACAGCAGGGAAGTCCAGTCCTCATCACCCCATTGCTTCCCAGCTCCTGCCTCAGCAGCTGCTGGAGAGGGGGAGATCCAGGATCCCAGGATGTAGAGGTTCAGGATCTAATGATGGGGAGGTCCAGGATCCAACACTGGGGAGATCCAGAATCCATTGGTGGGGAGGTCCAGGATCCAATGCTGGGCAAGAGGGACCTGAAGGCTTTTTCAAGCCCCGAAGGATGAAAAGGTTTGAAAGCAAAGGCAGCAGGAAAAAGTTGTGGGAAGGGAAGGAGTTGCAGAGCAGGTGGGAGCCCAGAGCACATCCTGAGCAGAGGGTCGGCTCTGTGCTGTTGCCAGGGTGATGGGAAGCAGAGGGCTGGGGATGTGTCTGTTTACATAAGAATTGTTGATTAATGAACATACAGGCAAGATAATTTACCGAGGGCCTGGAGGCACCGGCATTATCTCTCCATCTCCCGGTGCAGTTTAGGATGTGGCTGCAGAGCCTTCCTGCTGCCTGTCCTGACAAAGCCGGGTCCGAGGCCGCACAGGGACCCCAATCCGTGGGAGAAGAGAGCCCCCACCTGATGGACTTGACCCATCTGGAGCCACACCGAGGTGTCCAGGCAGCAATGGGATGCTGTGAGAAGGAATGCATCCCAAAACTCCCCCACAGGCTTCCCCACCTGCCACAGGTGCTCCTGCCCAGTTTTTGGGTGTATAGTGGAGTCCAAGCATCTGCCAGATGTCCTGCATGTTGAGTCTTCCAGGTAGGAAGCCAGGGCAAGCCCTGCTGCCCCTCACCCTTCCAGGGCATCATCATCACCCCTGGCTCTGCCAGGTGATGGTCTGTGTCCTACCCACCACCCTCTCCCTCTGGATCTCCCCAGGGATCAATCCCACAGCTCTACTCACCTGGGTTGCTGACTCTGGTGGCCACACCACTGGTGTCCCCCAGGTCACACCACCAGACACAGCCCATGGGGTCAGGATTCCCACAGAGCTCTGGTTTGTTGGCATCCCCCAGGTGATTCCTGCACTCCCACCTCCATGACCACGTGTGGGGACACCGTGTGTGGGGTTGCAGATGGCAAGGAAGCCCCCAGGTGCCCTCTCTGGGCTGGAGGGAGGGCAGGTGGGCTGGCTACAACGATCCTCATGTCCACAATAACCTCTTCCAAAGTTGCCAGACTCCATGTGGGGGAAGACTATGGAACCAACAGCTTCCAAGGCTATGGAAAGGCTGAGAAGTGTCCCTGTATCCTGGTAAGATGGTGCCACTACCTCACACAGAGCAGCACGTGCTGGTTTGTGCCCCCTCCCCAGGATCCCTTCACTGGCCATGGCAGGCAGTGGGGAGGGAGAAGGTGGTGGTCCCTGGAATTCTCTGCCTGCCCTGCCCTCCCTGCCTGTAGCTCCAGCCAGGCACTTAATCCCCATTTCCACCACTTCAGCCCCGTGGGGACCCCACGGCAGGGGCGAGATTTGCAGCACCTACCCCAGGTACATCATGTCCCACAGCACAGAGGTGAGTCTGCAGGGGTCAGTGGTCACCCAGTACCCAGGCTGGCACCACAGGCACCTGGTGCCCTGGGGAATCCTCCCTGGATGCAAGTCCTGAAGTCACAGACACAGCCCCTGTCGTGGAACAAACCTGGCAGCACAAAGCTGGTGGCCGAGGGGCAGCTTCCCACATCCAGGTGAAGGGTGAGGATTTGGCACAGGCTTGGGACATGTGCAGTTGGCACAGGAGGGCAGCACGTCAGGACATCAGGGGTGGCACGTGGTAGGCATTGCCAGTCCCCAAATTTCTACGCCAAGTCTCACCCTCAGCTCATCAAACCCCAGTGCCTCACATTTCATCCCTCCCAGAGCTGAAATACCTCTTGACACCTGAAAAAATCCTGTGTGTTCCCAAGCAGGAAGCAGTGACTGGAGCAGGGGGTGGGCAGGGGAAGAGAGGGAACACGGGAGAGTGGAGAGAAGCAGGGACACCGCACTGGAAAGGCAGGATGGTGCAGTGGGAAGGGAGGCAGGAGGCAGCTGGTGGGTACCAGGAGCCCCCTGCCCAGCCTGGGGTGCAGCTCTGGGGTGGTTTCCATGGTACTTCCCAGCTGCTGCTCCCTCTGCCTGCTCCGAAGGCTGTGATTAAGTGCAGGCAGACCCACAATTACGAGGGGGCTGCTGCTGGTGGGCTCTGCAGGGGGTTGGGGCCCTGCCCCTGCACCTGCCTGTGCACAGCGAGCCAAGAGCAACGGGAGCTGCTGCTGGGCTGCCCCTGGGCACAGCACAGAGCAGAGTCCCCGTGTCCCCTGGCAGGGAAGGGATAAGCATCTCTCCACAGCCCCAGGCAGGGCAGGGATCCATGTCCCCAAACCCTTAGGCAGGGCAGGGATCAGTGCTCCCATGGCCCCAGGAAGGACAGGGATCAATATCCCCTCCCTGTTGCCGTGAGGCAGGGTAGGGATGAGTGCTCCCATGGCCCCAGGCAGGGCAGGGATCAATATTCCCATTTCCACAAGTCAGGGATCCATGTCCCCATGTCCCCGGGCAAGGCAAGGATCAGTGCTCCCATGTCCCAAGGCAGGGAAAGGATCCGTGTCACTGCGTCCCAAGGCAGGGTAGGGATCATGTCCCACATGCCCCAGTTAGGGCAGGGATCAGTGTCCCCAGGAAGGACAGGGATCAATGTCCCTATTTCTAATAGGGAATACAGGGATCAATGTCCCTATTTCCAATATCAATGTCCCTATTTCCAGTAGGGAATACAGGGATCAGTGTCCCCATGTTCCCAGGAAGGACAAGGATCAATATCCCCACTGCCATGAGGCAGGGCAGGGATCCATGTCCCCACATCCCGAGGCAGGACAGGGATCAGTGTCCCCAGGCACACCCAGGCCATGCAGAGACCTGTGGCAGAGCCAGGAGGAGACGAGGGGTCCATCCCCTCAGAGACCCCTCCTTGCTCCATCCCCACAGCCCCTCATGCCCCCCACAACCCCCTGTGCCCCCTCCCTGGGGGGGGCCCCCCTCTGCCCCCCCCCCCCCGGCAGGATCCAGGTCCCCGCGGGGGGGGCACAGTGGGGTGCCCTCCTGCACAACTGGAGCAGAGGAAATGCTGGAACTTTGAACATGTCCGGAAATAATGACTTTAAAAATGTATCATTCTGCAAACTCATTAAGGCGCATCCCCGGCAGCAGGGGAAAGGAATTGCCGGGCCTGGGAGCCGCTTGATCTTTACAAAATGTGCACAGTGAGTGCTCCTGAATATTTAACCCCGATGGCTCCCCGGGCACTTGGGAGGCTGTGGGGGGTGTGGAGGTGATCGTGCAAAAGGGAATGTGAGGACCTTGGCAACCCGGGAGGCCCCTACTCTGTGCCCTCCTCCCCAGGTGGGCACCCAAACACAGGCAGTTGTGCTGGGCTGGCAGGATTGGTGCTGATCCAGAGACAGGATGGCTCCCAAGACTGGGTGGTACGTCAGTTTGGGATGGGATATCCCTCCCAAACTTATTTCCATCTTGCTTTTGGCAGTGTTGGGATGAGAGTGGGCACTGGGATGCTGTTCCATCCCCGGTTCTGCTGGGAGCCAGGGCTCTGCCAGGTCCACCTTGGGAGGGAGTCCCCGGGTCCCTGAGGAACTAGAGGCACCAGTGGCCCTGCCACCCATCCAGGGATGCTGCTTTGGGTCCTCTTTAACTCCCAGCTCCCAGCCAGCTGGGAGCACAGGGCTGGGGCTTGGCACTGCCTGTGGCTGTCCTTGTCCCACAGCACTCCGTGATGCCACAGTGCTCCGTTCCACGGCAGCCCCCGGTGCTCCACAGACCCACAAGATGCCCCACATGCTGCCCCACACCCCGGGGCGCCCTGCAGAGCTGAATCCCACTGCCTGGCACGTACCAGTGCCCAGTCTTCCCGCAGCAGAGCTCAGTCACCCGCACCCACCGCGGAGGGTTCGTCCCCAGCGCCGCCACCAACCCATCGTGAAATTAATTCCGGAGAAGGGGCCGTAATTACCTTCCATCTCCCCCTTCATAAATATGTAGAAATAGCAGCAGCGCTGTGCCGAGCCCACCACCACTCGGCGGTGACCTTTCCGAAACAATATGTGCTGCGAGGCAGCACCGGCGCGCCAGGCAGGCGTTGCCATGGCAAAGCGGGAGCGCAGCAAACACACCGCAATTACAGGGGGAGCGGCTCCCCGGCAGCCCCGCGATGCCCGCGGAGCCGAGTGCGGGCAGCTCGCCGCCGGGCCTTTTGTCCCCGGGGTGTCACCTGCCTCGTGCCACCTGCGGAGGTACGGTGGTGACACGGGATGAAGGACAACAGGATCCTCGTCCTGCCCGGATGGGTCACCTGCAGCCCCTCTTCTGCATCGCTCAGCTCCACCTCCAACCTGCCCGGGCCACGCTCCCAGCGTCTCCAGGAGCTGATCCCCGTCCCCAGTTTCAGCTCGGGGCAGTTGTCATTCCTGGTCCCCTCTCCCTTCTCCCCTGGGGACACTGGCTTTCGCCGTACACCACGGCTCAGCTGCGGATTTGGGAAGCAAAACCCTCCTTCCCATCCCTCTCTCCCCTATCCCAGGGAGAACCCTGCTTTGCCAGCCTGCTCAGGTGACAGCACAGAGGCCCAGCAGTGCCTGTCCCCTGCCTGCCCCCTCCCTGGGTGCCAGTGGGTGCTCCAGGTCCGGTGCTGGGTGCGGGGTCCTGCTCACGGAGCGCGAGCAGGTGGCTGCCGGCACAGAACCAATCGACCGCTCCCAGAGACGGATTTACACGGAGAACAAAACGTCTAAAAATGTGCCAGTGCTGATGGGAAGGCTCTCCATGCACAGCCTACGCAGGTGCCGGGCCTCTGGAGCCGGCTTGGGGGTGCTCACCCTCCTCCTGCCCCTCCAGCACCTGCAGATGTGCAGCTGGACCAGCCTGGCTCCCTGCCCCTCACCCCCAGGGCACCTCTGCTTCCTCTGGGGATGATCCCATGGGTGCTGCAGGTCCCACTGCTGAGCAGAACTGTGCTGGTGTCCCCCTGCCAGGCTGGGGGCTGACCAGAGAGGGCCAAGCAGGATTCCAAGGCTTCCCCTCCTGCAGGGCTGGGATGCTCTGTAACCCCCCGCGCCGTGCAGGCAATTCCCATTTCTCCCAAAATCCTGCCACAGCAGCCCCAGCAGTGCTGTGGAACCTCAGGCAGGGTTGAGCAGCTGATGGTCTGTGGGATGGAAGCCACCCCCAGGGCATCCTTCCCTGTGTCCACCTGCTCCATCCCCATATGGATGGGACACCACCCCATTCCTGGGAGATGTGTCCGGAGCTGGAGCTGACCAGATCATGCCATGCCCTGTGCCCTGCCACTGCTCAGCTCCATGTCACCAGGACACCAGCCTGAGTCTTGCCTGGAGCAGAACAGCTCTGCATCCCCAGCATCACACCCGACACGCCTGGCAGGATGTGTCCAGATGCATTTCAGCCATTCCATAACATCTCCATCCTCTGCCGATCCAGGCTCTTGTGGAAGTGCCACTGCTCATCTCTAAATAGGTGACAGCCCTGGGTTGGTGCTGCCTGATCCAGGCAGGGGGGCCTGGGGGACCCCTGCCACCCTCCCAGGGTGTGACCGGGGGTGTCCCAGTGTGTGCGAGCACCCCTGTGGGTCTGGGGGCAGCGCTGGGGGCTCAGCCCTGTGTGTGCACACCCCTGGGACACTGGGGCTGTGTCACCACCAGCGTGGCACAGGGAATGCCCCCAGGGTGGGGGGGGTGTGTGTGTGCTGTGGGATTACTGAGCACTCCCATTAGCTATTTATTTAACCTTGTTTTGGAGGCGGGTGAATTCCCTCTGCAGTGAAGCGAAGCTTTATTGCCGCCAACCCATAAATCAGGAAGTTTTGCTCCTCTCCGATGCCAGAGGATTGAAATTAGCAGCAATCCCACTCCTGCCTGACCCTGCACAGGATGCCCTTCCCACCCCACAGGGGCATCAGGGCTGGCAGAAGCCTCCTGCACCCCAGGCAAGGTACTGGGGGAGCCCTCCCAGAATCCAGAGGTTTAGGCTGGAGGGTGAGGTGGGGAAGAGCCCCTCACTTCAGCATTCCAGAGGGCTGGAGAAGCCACAGCCACTTGTAGGGCACAGGATGGGCATGGGGCAGCCCCGAGTGCTCCCCCTGCCCTACACCAGCACTGCCCCCAGGCACAGCCATTGTACCCCAAATGATTCAGGGGGTCCTCATTTGTGTTTTCAGATCGGAAGTGAGAGCAGGGGAGATTCCCCCAGTGTGAAGAGCATCACTGAGGCTCCCAGGGTGGAGGAGACTGGGTCTCACATTTGGAGGCAGCACCAGCCCCCCCAGAGAAGGTGAGGGTCCCTGTGGCAGCAGAGCCCTTGGCAGGCAGGCAGAGAGCACAGCCCATTTGACACCTGGATTGCCAAATGCAGCTTCCCAGTGTATCCAGTTTTCCTCCTCACTGAAGAGGGAAATGGTGTTCCAGCAAAATCACCCCTGTCAGGGAGCTGGAGCAGCTAAGGGGGAGTTTGGTGACACACCCTGAAGGTGCCTGCACCGAAGCAAAGCCAAAGCCACAACAGGCTGGAGCACCCTGTCCCCAGGGTGTCAGGGTGTGCTTGGTGTCTCTGCAGAGCCACCAGGGAGATGGGAGAGGTGGGACCCTCATGGAGAGCACCCAGGCTCTCCAAAATCCCCCTGTGCCTGGGGGAGAGGGAGGGGGAAGGATTTGAGAGACATCGTTTAGGGTTGGACTTGGCAGTGCTGGGTTAATGGTTGGACTCGATGTTCTCAGAGGGCTTTTCCAACCTAAACAATTCCATGATTTCCCACTGTGAGGACGTGGTTCTCAGCCCATCCTGCAGCAGGGACTCTGCCTGACACTGGCACAGCTACACACCACAGACAGTGCACCCTGCCCACCCCAGCCCCCCGTGTGCTCAGGGGTCACTCTTGGCAGCTTTGTGGCACTCCAGGGACAAGGACAGCCAGTGCCACACAGTACAACCAGCAGCAAATGGGCCACGGCAGGGGCAGGGAGTGGTGCCACAGGGAGTGGTGCCACACTCACTGCCCGGAGCTGTTCCCCCACTGCCCCCAGAGGGATCGGGAGGTGGTTGCCTGTCCAGCCCTGCAGCCCTCAGTAAGCTCCCATTTCCCGCTGTGTTGGCCTTGTTGCTGGAGTGGGAACGTGCTGACAGCACAGGACAAACTTACCCCGTGTAACTGGGTCTTTCCCAGCTTGCTGTGGAGCCCAGGACTGATCACTGACTCCACGGGATGAGAGCAGGAAGGGACCATGGCAGGGCAAGCCATGAGTTGCAGCAGGGATGTTTGTCTGTGGATTCAGGCACATCACGCCAAGGGATAGAAGAAACCCCTGGCTTGCACTGGGGCATCCTTTTCCCCCTCTGCCGGGAAGCTGAGCAGCACGGGAGGCCAGGAGCAGGGCCGGCTGGCTAGGTGGGATGCAGCCTGGCTTATCCCATGGGATTGGCACAGGGGGGCTGAGCTCAGAGCCCCGAGTCGCTGGGCAGAGAGGAGCCGGTGCGGGGAGCGGGGCTGCGAGCGCGGCGCACTTCAAAGGGCAGGGAGGTGTAAATATTTCACCAGAGCCCGTGCAGAGCCACGAGGCTGCAGCGATCAGAGCCGGGCACGTCCGCCCGGAGCAGGCAGGGGAGGGGGATCAAAGCGCCCGGCGGGAGCCCGGC